TGCCAGGCTGTGGTGGCACACATCTTTAGTCCCAGCACTTGAGAGGCAGAGGCAGGCAGGACTCTGTGAGTTCGAGGCCAGCCTGGCCTACAGAGTGAGTTCCAGGACAGGCTCCAAAGCTACACATAGAAACTCAGTCTTGGTAAAAAGAATTATGATGTGTCTCACCGATGTGATAACATTGGGTTGTACCTAGATGACTAGAAATGCAATGAAATAGCATTTTTCTTCCCTTTAAGCACTTGATTCAATGTTTTTATAATATGTTAGAGACATCTATTCAGGTTTAAAATGTTATGTGTTTGGACTTCACTTCTAGAAGGCAATAGCACCTTAAGAGAGATCCAAGAATATTTGCAATGTTTTTCTTTAAACTTGCTAACAGCCTAAATGTCAACTGATAAAAAAAATTACTAACTCCCTTCCCTCAACAAAAATCCACCAAGAGATCGTTTCCATAGCAGCAGAGTGTGTGTGTATGTGTTGAGGGGAGGGTGCGGTGGAGAGACTTGATACAGGCATTTAAAGTTTTGACATACAATGCACTTTATGGCCTGATGTTGGCCATGCCAGTGTTTAATAACAGTTCACTAAGATACACTTTTGTTGGGCTGATGTTATGGCTCAGCAGTACAGTGCTCACCAGTCATTCATGAGGCTCTGGGTTCAATACCCAGAACTGAAGGAAATATTCAATTGTGTCTGTATGCTTTTCCATATGTGTGTGTTCCGATTTATGAATTTTTGGTTTTAAAAGTAAATTATTAGAGCACGCCTTCAAAGTTCGATGGGAAAATATTTTGAACTTAGAAATCTACACTTAGCAAGATTGCTGTCAAGACAGAGAATGATTTAAAGTCATTTATAACTAGAGTCCCTGAAAGGTTCAAAGAGCTTCCGTATGATCTGACCTCTCTGAAGGAGATAATTGGAGTCATCAGCCAAGAAATTAAGTGCACAGTGTACGTAGGAAAGAGTGGGGAAAAAAAAAAAAAAACAGAATGGCAGCTTGCAGTATTTGTGGCTGAATCTGAGCCACGGTGTTAGCAAGAGGAAATAGAATTAATTTTCCAATAGTTTTTACACTTATTAATTCTGTGTGTGGCAGCAGGTACATGACATGGGGAGGTCAGAGAAGAATTGGTTATAGTCCATCCTCTTCTCCCACCGTGTGGGCCCCAGGGACTGAACTCAGGTTCAGCCCTGGCTGAAAGCACCTTTACCCTCTGACCCATCTCACAAGGCACATTTTTCAATTTTCTTCCTTGTGCCATAGCAATCCAGAAGCATGACATCAGAAATACAGAAGAGTCAGGCATGTGTGATGGTTCATACCTTTAATCCCAACACTCAGGAGGCAGAGGCATGTGGAATGTTGTGAGTTCAAGGCTAGCCTGGTCTAGATATCAAGATATCAAGTTTCAGGCCAGGCAACGTTATATTGTGTGAGCTTGTCTCAAAAAAAAAAAAAAAAAAAAAAAAAAAAAAAAATACAGGGCAGTTAAAAAAGCACTGGCTGCTCTTCCAAAGGACCCAGGCCTGATTCCCAGCACCAACAAAGTGGCTCACAGCTGTCTGTAACTCCAGTTCCAGGGGATCTGATACCCTCTTTTGGCCTCTATGGACACCAGACACACATGGTGCCCAGACTTATAGACAGGCAAAATACTCATACCCACAAAAATAAATAAAAAGTTTAAATCGGAGTTTGCAGAAACTATAAGGCAGATGTGTGAGGAGAGATGGATGAGGAAGAGACATGAGGAAAATCAACAGAATAAAAAATTCAGTCATTTCAAAATAAAATCTAAATCTGCAGAAGTAACTAATAGGAAGAAAACTCAATGATACAATTAGGAAAACCAGTCTGTAAAAAGAAGGAAGAAATAGATACTTAGCAATCAGAACAGGCTACTGGGCATAGGGGCTGATAAACTAAGACTCAGCTTGCTGGCAAGATGGTTTAGGGCTTAAAGGTGCTTGCTGCAGGGCCTATCAACCCGGTTTAATCCCTGGCACCCACATGACGGAAGGAGAGAAACAACTTCCACAAGTTGTCCTCTGACCCATACATGTGAGCACCCATACACAGTAAATAACCCTAGAAAACGCTAAGAAAAAAAACAAACATCTTAATTTAAAATATAATAATATACATATATACATATGAAGCCAGAAAGAAGTTAATATAAGAAAATGCTGTGAGTGGCTATTATTAGGGCACAAAGGGGCAGGATTAAGAATATCCAGGCCTTTTATTATCTCCCTCTGGGCACTCAGTTATTATTATTATTTTTTTTTTTTAAAGATAACCCAGGGATTTGTGTACATAGACCAAAATGAAATACTATTTGCTGAGGACTTCCTTCTGTGCTGTTGCTATGGATAAGTTCATGTCTGCTGCCTGGAGCCACTCATTAAGTGGACCCCGGTTGCCAGGGAAACCAGATCTGATACAGAAGGTAACAGCAAGGCCTACTGTTCACCAGGCAACCTCTCCAATCTAGCTCTCGCTCCTGGGTGATGCCATCAAGCCACAGGAAGCTCATGGCATTCCTGTGACACTGGCTGAGAAGTCATACTGGTCAGCATTGATCTGCTTGTCCCCATTTGCAATATACATGCTCATGAGAAGAGAATATTAGTCACTTAATGTTATACCTCAGTGTTCATAATATCATAAATACCATCCCCTTCATGTCCAGCTTTACACACACACTGGGGATCCGAACTCAGGTCCCCAATCTTACCATCTAGGCCTTTACTATCTCCCTAGCCCTCATTTCTTAAAATAGCATCTATCCTACTTGGTAAGCTTGAATCATTTTTTAAGATTTTGTTTTTGTCTTTGTATGTGCATGCATGTGTGGTGCCTGCCACATGTGTACTTGTGTACCCACAGAGGCCAGATGAGGACACGGGATCCCCAGGAGCTGTAGTTACAGGAGGTTGTGAGCTGCCCGACATGGGTGTGTTGAGTCAAACTCCAGTCCTGTTAATCCCTAACACATCCCTTCAATCCCTTGGTTCATTAAACAAACAAACAAAAAAACCAAGAATCTATTTCCCAAGGTGCCCAAGAGATGACTCCCTAGGTGCTCACCCTCAAACTGTAACAACTAATACTCTTGGTAGCAAGCAGGGCAGGGGATGCCTCCTCTATAGTAACTAAGAGAAGGATGTAGAACTACTCAAACTGCTGCTAAGAATGGTGTTTTGGAAGTATTCTGTGGGCTAAGGCCAGATGACTGATGGCCTGTGTTAAGGGATAGGACAATTATATACTCATGTTAAAGGAGCAGCAGAGAAAGGTCAGTGTTTGGGCCACAAAGAACCCTCCCCCCACTGTTTATCACGCAAAGGGTAGTTTTCATATTCATTATTATATTATTTTGGTTTTTCAAGATAGTTTCTGTGTGGCTATGACTGTCCTAGAAGTCACTCCAAAGACCGGTCTGGCCTCAAACTCAGGGATCTGCCTGCCTTTGCCTCATGAGTGCTGGGATTAAAGGTGAGTGCCACCACTGCCCAGCTGTCTGTGTGTGTACGTATGTACGTAAGCATCTACACTTTTACAGTAAGCACTTTACCAGCTCCCACCCGCCAAATTCTTATGCTGAAACCCTAACCCTTCATGTGACAGTATTGCAAGGGTTGGAAATACGTTGTGAGAGTGGCTGGACAGACAAGTAGCCTCCCCACATACGAGGGCACAAGGCCAGCCATTAACCAGCAGGAGCTGCCACCAGACAGTGGGTCTGAACAACAACTTGAACTTCCAAGTTTCCAAAGCTACAAAAATGATATTTAAGCCCCCAAATGAAAATCTGAACTATGACATCGCCTTTCAACAATGTCTGTATTTTCCCCTTATTAGCTGATGCTAAGTGAAAACTTTTAAGAATGTTTCTTACTTTTCTATGGTTTCATGGCCCGATGTTTGCCAAAGCTAAATTTAATTCTTTAAACGTGTCAAGTTTCTAATACTGCAGTTGTATAATAAAGTTATAGCTTAAAATAGTTTTGTAAAATTTGTACATTATGTGTATGGGGATGACCATGGGAACCAGAAGAGAGCATAAGATCTCTTAGAGATGGAGTTAAAGGCAAATGTGAGTCACGTGACTGAGTCCTGGGAAGCAGGAACCAAATGAGGGTCCTGTGGAGGAGCAGTGGGAACTCTTGCCTGCTGGGCCTTCTCCAGCCCCAGCATCAACAACGCTTATAACTGCTAGTAACAAACCCACAGTGGCACATTCAGAGGTCCCTTACAGCTGTGCTACTTCAGACTTAATATAAATACTTCCTTACCCCACTGCCTTCCCTAACTCCTGGACCCTAGCTCCCAGGACCCACCCAGCCCCCCCAGGGTCATAAACTATTAACATCATCATATTGACAGACTCTAGTCATTAACTGTAAATTTACACATTTCTGAAACCAAGGTGATTTTGTATTTTAATACCTTTTGAAAGTTAAGCATTAGTGCTCAGTGGGATCCTTAATGCATCATAAACCAGTGTTTCAGCTTCTGTCGAAACCAGTGGAACTCGGGTGGGATGGCAGAACATATGCTTCACGTGCTTAAGGCCTTGGAGTCAGTCCCCAGCCTGAAAACAAAACCAAGCTCATAGCTTCCAAAAAAACAAACAACTACTCAAATTACAAAACACTGACCTCACTCCCCAATTCACAAGTATAGCATTCAGTACAGAGCAGAGGAAGGAGAGGAGTAAGACAAACATTAGAATGGGACATTAAAAAAAAGGTATGTGTGGATAAAGATCATACAGGCATGCCAGACTTCAGCTTTTACTGTGATACCAAGTCCTTAGAGGTTTCTGAGTAGAAAGGTGGCATCGTCTGATAGATTCTAAATACGAATCACTCTGCTTTGTGGAAAATAACCTGTATCAAGTAAATAACAGAAGCAAAGTTACGTGCCGAGGAATACACCCACAGGAAGGAGTAACATGTGCACTAAAAGACAGACACGAGGCTTTTAATAGCAATTTTATTCATAATGACCACAAAGTGGAAACAATCCAAATATTCATCAACATTGAATGGGTAAACCAGTACAACAAATGGACTGTGACACATACACAGTGAAAAATGAGCCGTTACAATCCACGACATGGTTACTACAGCAGACAGAGAGAACAGAAGACACAGGAGTGTCTATAATTACACTTGATATAGATTTAACACAGGCAAAACTAACCGACAGGCAATAAGGGTCAGACCAGCGACTATCTCTCTGTGTGAAAGGCAAAGGACACCTACTGGAGTAACTACTTTCTACCTTGACCTGGGTGGTGCGTTTACAGGGGAATATAAAAATCCACGGAGGTGGACACCGAGTATTTGTAAATTTTTATCTCAGTGAAAAAGCAAAGGCATATTTAAAATGATGTAGGGGAAAAGAACCATGATAATTAGTAGTGTTATCTTCCAAATAGTTCATTTTCCTCCCGGCAGTATGGAGGGATGGCACTGCTCCTTGAACTCTGGTGTGGCTGAGGGCTTTCTCAGCCTCTGCTGTCTGCCTGCCAAACTTTCTCTCCTAATGAGTATCTGCTTTGTCCTGAGCCCTGAGGCAGGGGCGCTGTAAGCAGGAATTAGTGAACAACGTATTTCAGCTTGTGTTGCACACACACTGTGTCAGAACTACTCAACTCTGCAACTGTAGAGGGAAACAGCCATGGCGGTTCATGGACAGGCATGGCTGTACCCTCTAACACTTCCTCTGAGGACGGACTTGGCCTACCTGCTCCTCACCTGCATGAAGTCCTAGACAACTTGCCACAGAAAGTTCTGGAGACACTAAACTTTTGTAGTTATTCACCTCATGGCAACCTTTCCAATCCGGATGCAGAATTAAAATACTAAACATGCTGCTTAGTGATTAGCTGGGAGGCATTCAGGAAGATTGCTATTGGAAGATAGAAAAACGTTATTACACAGGGGGAATTTATATTATAGAGAGGCAAAAGTGCCCTTTCAGATGAACTGGGAGACAGGACATCCACCCTTTATTAAAGAAGAAAGAATTATCTTGTGGTGGCTGTTGGCTGTAATAGAACATGAACTCAGTATTTGGTCAGTTTCAAGACAGAAATTATAGACTATAAAGTACTTATAGTGTAGGATGAGGCAATTTTTCAAATATGAGATAAAAATGAGAAACTTTAACACAAAGGTTGATGAAAACCTAGTTTTGCAACAAGGATCAAATCTCTGGATAACTGTCATACTTACTACTAAGACCTCAGAGTGAACTAATTTAGTAATTAACTAATTAATGTGACTTCCTAAAACTGTAAGTCCAAGAGAATGATACAGTTCATCTCTTAAATTGGGCAAATAGCTTAATTACAGAGACTCAGGGTCTGGCTTTCAGACTAAAGAATGAAGAGGTCCAGTTACCTAGAAATGAAGTTCACAAAGGTATGAAACAAGAAAGCAAGGAAATACAGCAAACCGAAAAGTATATGTTAACTGGACCTTATCTGGGGTTTTCCCCTTGGGGAGATGGCGTGGAACATTAATGAGCTGAGGATCTAGTAGCCAGAAGGGCTAAAGACAACCTTCTCAGAAACAAATTTACTTACTTTGAAATTCCAGAAGAGCCAGAAATCATCTGTAAAGGAAAGTAACTACTAAATAGCATGCCATTTTCTCCTAGGGTTGAAGCCTACAAAAAGGAAAAATGGATGTTAACTCTTATGTGGCATTGTCTTTCTCCAATCTGAAGGTAATTTTTAGATTACAGAACTCAGTTCAATCTAAGCACTTATCCAATCCTTTCCCTCTATATGTAGGTTCCTTTGGAAATTAAAAACAAAACAAAACAAAACAAAAACCAAAAAGACTCTTATGGATGTACTTAACACTACAGAGCAGACTTGTGAGTATACTTAGCTTTGAATCTTGACATTACTACTAATTTACTAGGGTAAATTACAATCTGTTTTCTTAACAACATTCACATAATATTTGAATCACATGCTAAGCACTGCACTAAATTCAAGAAACACAACAATGAGGTCCCTAGTCACAAATAAGGTGAGTTTCATTTCTTAACTTGCAATCCATGGCTAAGAACTATTCAATGAACAGGCAGGATGTCTATGAAGATCAAATGAAGACTGTGAAGATTTCAAAGGTCATAATAACCAGACAAGCATTTATTTGCCCAAACATTTACCCAAATGCCAGGCTTTAAACTATTCACTAGAGATGAAACAATGGGTTAGACTTCTCTGTTCCAGTATAGCTATGACCAATTTGCAGTAAGAAATGCTAAGTAGGAAGGACAAGGGTGTTTAGCAAGTGTAGTTGGGCACCTGGCCTAGAGGGCGCCACTGAAGCTTCTTAGATATATAAACTAAGATCTGCAAGATGAACATGTTTATATCCTATCTGTTCTGACAGCAGTGGTGAAAGCCATGGAGCAGTGTGATCAGTTTGGGGCTTGGGCGAGGGCAACTGATGGGCAACTGTAATGCCATCTGCAGAAGGGCAATGAGAGCAAGGGCAGGCTTGGGAGAAAGAGCTAAGATGTGTTGGGAGGCTGGCGAGAGAGCAGAGTGTCAGTGATACCAACAACTAGGATTTAGGGGGACATCTTCAGGAGATAAGAGTTTGTAAATATCTGCGTACAGGGGGCAACTAAAGTCATAGAAAGAGAGAGAACAACTAAGGAGGTACTGTAGGCAAACGAGGCAACAGAGATTAGGCGGCCTAGAAAAAAAAAAAGTAAACAAAACAACCGACAGACATAACCAGACATACTTAAGGAAGAGGTGCCTGTGATGACTGAGCATACCTGGAGCTGGTGTGTCTGCAATGCTAGGATGATTTCAAGCAGGGAAAAATACTGACAGATACTGAACTTGAGTGATTTGACTGGCAACATGGGAGACTGGGCCAGCACATATTTGAACTAGCGGGAATGAGAGAAATGCAGAAGGAACAGTTAAGGACACAGAGTTGTTTGTCTTTTAAATGGCACTTATTTTAACTATATCCACTGATACCACAGGACCAGTAACAACTATATATTTAAAAAGGAAAGACTGCCATGCAGCTAGTCACTTAGTACAGAAAACGGCAAAACACCTTAAACAAGTGGCTCTCAACCCGTGGGTCGCAACCCCTCTGGGTTGCACATCAGATATTTACATTATGATTCCTAAGAGTAGCAAAATTACATTTATGAAGTAGCAATGAAATAATCTTATGGTTGGGGGTCACCTCATGAACTGTATTAAAGGGTTGCAGCATCAGCAAGGTTGAGAACCACTGTCTTAAGCAAACAAACAAACAAACAAACAAACAGGAAAAAAAAACCCCCAAGGCTAGTTACAGCAAACTCTATTGCTGAGGGTCAATTAAAAGAAAAAACAAAACTTTAGCTTATTTATATCTCCCCCATACTCACACAGTGGCTATATGATGCAATCTAATTTTATTATCGCTTTAAGCAAAACACGAGAACTTGATAGGATGCACAAGATAATAATATTTAGAGGACTACGAATAGAAAGTAGAAGTGGCTTTCAGGACTTCTGATCATTCTTTCAAATAATAAAAGTATTTGAAGGATTTGCTGTGAACGGTAATACACAAAGCTACTGGGAAATTACCAGTAGAGTCCTTCTGCTTTTCAGGTATTTAGACTTATTCTTGGATAAGCAAAATGTCAACCTGACACTGGCTTTTCTCCTCTAAACAACTGGAATTAGGCTTCCCTATCAAGTATGCCATCAGTTTCTACTGGAGATTTCCCCGTCCCTTGAAATAAGATAATGTGTACTTGGTGGGGGAGGGTGCTGGCACTTTGGGAGGGATGACTCTTCATGGCATCAGGCTATCCTGAAAACCACAGGAGAAATCTTTAAGCTCAAACGCTAGAAGAACCCTCCAGTAAATTAGATAATCACAAAGGTGCCCAGACACACTTCCCAGCACTTTGTGGAAGGAAGGGTTCTTCTACATTTGGTTGGCTTTTAGGCTCGTGCAGCTTAGGTATCGGTTCCTTCTAAATTCTTGGTTGTAATCAGGTTCCTTGAATGTGCAACAGGATAATATGCTGCAGTATTTAAGACAGAAAGTAGCACGACAGCGTTGAAACTGTACTTGCGGATGATTTACAAATCGGGTGCTGCTTTTACATCCAGCTTACAATGTTGAGTTTATCATAAGGTTGACGTTTTCACAGTTAACATGTCTGATAACTGATAACCAACGTCTCTAGGAGTAGGAATTGTTACAGTCTGTGGATAAGGCTGCTTCTTGAGATTTAAATATTACTTGTGCACTGTCTTAACTACTCAATGTGTAAGACAGTGCTAGAGTAAATCCATTTTCAGCAGCTAACAAAATCTGACACTTGTCATTTCAAAATAAAGTGTCTCCCTTAAGCATAGTTTCTTTTATAAAACATTAATACACATGCAGAAAAGACAAATAAGCTAAAACCTCTCATAACTCCTGATCCTGAAGTATAAAGGTCCCTCTCCCACCCACCCCTCACTGTTTTCGTAGGGTCAAAGTTCTTTCTAGGGTAGAAAAAAGAATTACCGACTGGCAATGGTTAAGATTCCATACTTACCATGGTCCTTTGATAGACAGCTGAAAAAACTGCCCCTAGCTGTGAGAAATAAGGAGCAAACCTCCAATATGTGTTTATCCTTAATTCCTGATAGTAAGAGGCCTCCTAAATCAAATCTTAAAATTTTTCTTGCTGCTCCAACCAAGTTTTGATTACTTCCTCCATCTGTAATGTCACTGTCAACTGGGTAGGAGGGGGTGGAGCCGAAACTCTGCCAGTATTTACTTCAGGCTCAGAAATATGCTTTCAAAAATAATCTTAAATTCTGTTAGCTAGACAAAATACCTCCACTGTGTGGTACGCTCCTTTCCAGAAACTTAATTAGCTATGTTTCTGTAAACTGACTCAAATACACTTTAAGGAGTTGGTCATTTCAAACCATGTATCACACTTTTTACACCGTGTCAAAATAAGAGCTGAAACTTTTGGCATATTATCTCCGGAACATCTTAAAATCAGACTTCTAGTTCAACTTACAATATCAATATTAAACTCGTTGAAAATCCGTTATAACACAAAAGTAAAAGGCAATGACATGTCCATTAAATGAAGTTTTTAAAAGGTGGTGTTCTTATGTTTCAGTCCCATGTTGCCAAAGGAGATGTGGAAAAGGCAACGTGTCAGAAAGATGTCAACGTTGATCAATTTGGACATCTTTTTATTAATAAGCTCAATGCTTCCCAACAATCCAAATTAGTGTAAGTGTGAAAGAAAAATCAGTTTTTCCTTTTCAAACTGAATTCTCGTTGTACGGCAAAGGCTTACGAATCATTTCTTTCTCTCACAAGGTCATCCCAACGAGGATCCATTTCAGTTGTAGCAACTCGAAAGAGCGCTTGGAGATGCTCATCCGTCAGTGGCTGGCTCAGGGTATGCTGGTTTCGGGTTAAATAGGAAAAAGCCTTATCACAGATTTGGTTACTGTCAAACAAGGATGCCACCTTATAGGCAACCCCTTTGATAATTGGGTAAGCTTCACCAGACAGTCCGGCATAAAACTGCCCCAGGTCTTTGACTCTGTATTCGTCCCACAGGTCAGTATTCCCCTGAAGCTTTGTCAACTCCACTCTCACCGAAATAGGCGCGTATTCGGGTTTGAAGCTAAATGGGTTTGCGAAGAGCTCCAAGTCCTTTTTGATGAACCTCAGGTCCTTGAAATGTCTCTCGAAATCTTTCAGTAGGCGGGAGATCACCATTTGGTACCTGTCGGGGTCAAATATTTTTTGATCGTCCTTAAACTGCTGCTTAAGCTCATCGACGACTATGCTGAAGGCAGGAAAGTCGGCGAGGTTTACTTCTTCCATGTGTCTCTGGAGGGAACTCAGCTTAGCCTCAAAAGTACAGATCCGGTCAAAGGCGGCGGCAGCAAAGACCTTACTGATTTGCAGTTCTTCACTGATCTCTCGAAGATAATCCATAATATCTACCAAGAAGCCAAAATCACAAAGCCACTGCTTGTCCGAGAAGTGGACTGTCGTTGCCCCCACGGAAACCAGGAAGGCCTCTATCTCTTTCCTTAGTGAAAATATTAGTTTTAACGTCTTGCCTCTTCTCAGCCAGTTGTTCAAGCACCGTCCATTAACCCTTTCACCGTGCTCCGATTCAGACTCGGTCAGTAAAGGCTGAAACTCTGGGCGTCTGACGCCTCGGGTCTTAATCATAACCACCCATTCAGATATAGTATTTATGATCTGATTAATATCCACATCGTAAGAGCTCAACAGTTCCAAGTGCAGGAATCCCGAATAGTGGATAACGTTCCAACAGTTGGGGCTCACGGCCTTTTCTCTCATGTAGGAGACCAGTCCCGAGTTCTCACCAATCATCCTTAAAGTGTGGGTCGTGGTCAGTCCGACCATTCGCTGTAAGCTGAGCCCTGCTGTCTGCAAGGCCTCCAGGATTGCCGACATGAGGGCCCCAACACTGAAGTGATGAGTCAGGTTGATAATCGTCAGAAGATCTTCCTGCACCTCCAGGTCGCGGCCGACGCCGCGGATGAAGACCAGGAGGTAGTTCTCATAGGCCACAAAAGCCTGGTCATCCAAAGCAAGGGAGTAGGCCTTAAAGTCCCTGGCTCGGTTAAACAGCTGGCTACGGAGGTTGCTGTCAATGCTCAGAATCCTCTGCCGTGTGATCTCTGGAGACAAATCGATGCCCTCCAGAACGCCGACGTGATCGGGCAGCACCTCCCTCAGCAACACCTCCATGCATTGGTGGACGAAGTCTCCCTCACCCCAGCCGCGACCCTTCAAGGCCAAGAAGCGACAGAGGCCGAGGCCTGCCCGCGTCGCTCTCTCCTCCGGGGTGAGCACGGAGGCCACGGACATGTCGCCCTGACGCAGACGCTCCACCAGGGCCGCGCGCTCCTCGTCCCCTACGAACCGTTCGTAGAATTCGTGTTCGGCCTCGTAGTGGCGCCTCACGTCGCGTTCCCGGGTGGAGGCGACCAGGCGGCGGCACACCAGGCACAGGGCCCCGTCGCCCTCCGCAGGCTCCACCACCAAGTAACGCTGGGTCCACTCGGGTCGGAACACTAGGGCCTCATCGACTTCCATCCTAAGCCTCTTGGGCGTCATCCACATTCTGCGGGAGGCCACAAGATAACGGCGAGCTCAGAGGCCGCAGCAAACGGGGAGGAGCCCGACGAGCGCCAAGCACCCCGTGGGTTCTGCGCCAGATCACCCGAGCAGGGGTGCGCCAGCCTCCGCCAGGGCACCTCCGCTCCTATTGGCTGGAGATTTCGTATTCCCTCAGCTCTCGGGAAGGAGCCAATAGGAAGAGCGGACCGTGAACTTTGCCGCGCAAGCGCGTTGTCTCCTCGCCCAGTGGGCGGCCGCTGTTTAGGGCGGGACCGAGGCCCAGGAACTGACGTGGGCAGGCACCTGACTGGCGTTCGCGCTGCCCAATCGTCTCTTGTCGCTGCGAAGGCTGGGCAGGACGGCGTCGGCGGAAGCTGGAGGAAGAACGCGAGCGTGAAGAGCCGAAGTGATTGGCTGACGGCGAGCTCTGGCGCCACTATGGCGTTTGTAGCGGGAGTTATTCGGCGTCTGGACGAGACGGTGGTGAACCGCATAGCGGCGGGGGAAGTTATCCAGCGGCCGGCTAACGCCATCAAAGAGATGATTGAAAACTGGTACGGAGGCAGCGGAGCCGAGTTCCCCGGAGGCGGCCCGGGCCGGCCCACCTGCTGCAGTCGGCCAGCGAGCGCTGCGCTGGGCACAGGGACCCCGAGCGCGCTGGCCCTCCCCCGGGCTTCCCGCTGGCGGGGGTCCGCACGGCTTCCGCGAGCCCCTTTTGGGTCTCCAGGACAGGAAGCAGGCGTGATGTTGATGTAATGGTACCTTCCCGAAGGAAGCTGCCTAACTTCACACACGCGGAAGATGGCGCAACTGATGATGTGTGAATGTGTAGGGTGGAGAGAGAAACAATCTTCAGAGTATGCCGCGTTCAGTTTACCGTTTGCTCAGTCCGTACACATGCAAGGCACAGTTCCTTCTGAGTTTTATTCAAAATCACTGGCGTTTTAGATCAGGCCAGTGGGTTTTGTTTTTTTTTTTTTTTTTTTCTGACTCTCCTATTGTCAAATTAGTGGGCCAGTTAGTGTCCTAGGGAGATAGGGAGAGGCATTTCTTTTTTTCTTTCTTTTTTTTTTTTCCTTCTGGGACTTAAATCCGTCACGTTGTGAAGTGGAGAGGTTACAAATGTGGACAGAAAAGGGAATGTGAACAGTATGCCTCAAAATGGACACACCACCAAATAATTTCACAAAAGGATGCCCATAGAGTATACACAAAGACTAGGTCAGATCCTTTGTGTTAATATCAGTTGATGTTAGTGAAGCCCATACTTTGTAAGGAAAAAAAAAAAGATTTCTCCAGTGTGGAATACTACTAGTCTGGTAGAAGTTCACCGGAAACAAGCCATTCACGACAGTGGTATTGCAACAGGGAGAAAGCAAAGGAGTTAAAAGGTCATCAAAAGGAGCAGGGACATTTGATCGGGTGTCTCAATAGACTGCTGTACACAGAACGAACTATCGGATAGGCCAGTGATTGTACTATGCCTAATGAAACAGCTTAAAAATAGCATAGCTTATATTCGAGCAGAGGTTTTGCGTAGATTCTAGTTAAATGTTTTTTAAGGTTTTTGATACAGAGCTGCCAAGAAAAGTTTATTATTTAAATAACTTACTGTCTTTTTTTTTTCAATAAAGAATTTTTCATGAGAGGAAATTTATTACTTCCCCTTTTCACGAAGCCCCAGGCCAAATTGGTTTTTTGAGGTAGATAATAACTTCTTCCTTTTTAAGATTATTTCCCTTTCTTAGCTTAATTAATTTTGTTTACTGATTTGTGTCTATGGTGGAGGTTGTGTGTACAGCACACTTATGGAGGTCAGACAAGAACCTTGAGTTGATTCCCTTTCCATATTGTGGGTCCCAGGGATTAATCTCGGGAAATCTGGTTAGTGGCAGGTGCTTTTACTGCCTCAGACATTTTATGGGCACTACTAAAAAACAAAAACTTTTTTAAATTTAAATTTTCAATTTATGTGTAAAGGTGCTGTGCTGGTGGCATTTGCCTATGCACTGTGGGCATGGATTGCCCTCAGAGGCCTAAAGAGGACATCAAGTCCTCTGCAATTGGGATTTCAGGTGGTTGTGAGCCACCACCATGTGGGTGCTAGGAATTGAACCCTTTTCCTCTGGAAGAGCAGCCAGTGCTCCTAACTGCAGAGCTCTCTCTCCAGGCCCCTACCTTTTAACCTTCTTGTTTGTTTGTTTTTTGAGATGGGGTTTCTCTGTGTAGCACCCCTGGCTGTTCTGGAACTTGCCTTGTAGACCAGGCTGGTCTTGAACTCACCAAGATCCATCTGCTTCTGTCTCCAGAGTGCTGGGATTAAAGATGTGCTCCACCACACACGGCTCCCCATAAGCCTCTTGAAGAAATTTCTGCGTGGCAGGTTTTCTTTACTTTATCATGAGTTTTCTTGAAAATATAAGAGTAGAGGAAAGCCAGGCATGGTGGCACACACCTTGAATCCCAGAGCTTAGGGAGGCAAAGGCAGGTGGATCTGTGTGAGTTCAAGGCTAGCCTGGTCCAGAACTACACAGAGAAACTCTGTCTTGAAAAATAAAGCAAAAACAAAACAACCCCCCCAAAAAAACCAAAGCAAAAAAAAAACAGAGACTAAATTGTTGTACCAATAAAATTAGTTGAAAAGAGAATAAAAACAAATGTGCTAAAAAGATGGTCCTCCAGAAACAGAAATGTTGGTTCTGCACTTATCATTCATATAGTACCCACATTGAGCTTATAAGACAAAGAGAAAACATATTACTCAAGCACTCTATTTGGAATTTGTTATTATATGTGTATCAAAGTAGTTGCAGCTGACAAAATATTTTCTCTGATTGCCAGTTTAGATGCAAAATCTACAAATATTCAAGTGATTGTTAAAGAAGGAGGCCTGAAACTAATTCAGATCCAGGACAATGGCACTGGAATCAGAGTAAGTAAAGCCTGGGGGAGCTGGGTTCGTGAGCTTCATCTCAAACCTCTATGAAAAATGCAAGAATCTCCCTAAGCTCGTGTAACTTTAGTCTTTTCCAGAAGGCATTTTTGATTGAAAGCTTGAGCACTAACATTAATCATGTATTAAGTTTCTATTGTGTATTGGACATTGTTCGGGGGATGTGTCAGTAAATAAAATGGGAAAAAATCCTTTGTTTTCTTGTCTTGGTAGTGGGAGTCAGTAAGTAGTGCCCAATATGTCAGATGGTATGCAGTTCCTTCAGAATGTAAAAGCTGGGAGGAAAATAGGATCAGAGGGTGGGAGGGATGCAATCTCCATTTATTGGTGATTCAGGAGGGATATGGATGTGATATTTATGGAGAAAACCAAATGGAGATCAAGGGACAAGTTATGAAACTGTTGAAAGGGTGATTGTTGTGGGCAGAGAGAACAACAGAAACCACAAAGTTGAAGCGTGCCTGATCATGACAGACCAGTAAGGAAGCCAGCATATCTCCAACAGGGAGAACAAGAAAGGGTAAAGGACATGGGAGGAAGCAAGTTAGCTCTTCTGGCCATAGCTTTTTCGGCAGCTATGGTGGGATATGACCCAATGATTTTTAAGCAAAACACTTCATGATATGGTGATGAGTTTTATTACAAAACTTTTGAATGGGCCCGAATGATGCTTAGTGGTTAGGAGCACTTGCCACACTTGCCGAGGACCAGTGTAGAAGAGTGTAGCAGCTGTGGAAAGCGATATGGTACTTTCTTAGAATGACGATCACTGTTTCTACTTCTGTGCATCTGCAGATGAGTGAGATCAGGGACACAGGTAGATCTGTGTGGTTGTATTCATATCATTATTTACAATAGGCCCAGGGTAAAAGTGGCTCTCATCCATCAGCAGATGAGTGGATAAAGTGATACACATCTACACAGCAGAGGAGTATTCAGCCTTAGATAGGCTTGGAATTCTGATATGTGCCAACAGGGATAAAGTTGGAAGACTTTATATTAAATGAAATAAGTCAATCACAAAGAGTAAAAGGAGTGAACAGTTCCTATTACATGAGGTTTCTAGGGAAGTCACTCAGAGAGACAGAATGTGGAATGGTGTTTGCCAGGGAATGGGAAATGGGAGAATGGAAAGTTACTGTTAAACAGGTAATAAGAGTCAGTTTAAGAAAAATGATGACATTTTGGACATGGATGGTTGTGTTAATTTACTGATTAGATTTCTATAAATTTAACTAATGTAAATATGTACTTAATTATACACATAAAAATTGTTAAAACTAAAAGCTTGTGTTTCTTATTTTTAACATTGTCTCTAAACACCCCCCCCCCCGTGTGTGTGTGTGGGGGGGGGCAGTATTTATTCCTAGAGGTCAAAAGAGGGCATTGGTTTCCCTGGAGCTGGAGTTAGAAGTAGCTGTGAGCCCCTGTTATGGGTGCTAGGATCTGAACTCAGGCCCTTTAAAGAGCAGCAAGTGCTCTTACACTGAGCCATCTCTCCAGCCCATGTTTATGGCTTTTGAGGCAGGGTCTCTTGTGACTAAGACTAACTTTGATTGCACAGTATTGCTAAGGGTGACTAAATTCTTGTCCCTCCTACTTCTATCTCCAAAATGCTAGAATTCCAAGTGTGTGTCACCACACCCAGCTAAAATGAAGCTTTTGTTCTGTGTTGTTTTACTACAATTTTAAGAGTTTTGTTTTGTTTTTTAATTGAAAAAGAAAATGAAATTTGGGTGTGATATCATATGTGCACACTCCCAGCACTTGAGAGATGAAGGCTGGAGAATTAAGTTTGAAGCATCCTGGCTTACATAGTGAGATCCTGACTGAAAAAGGATTGACTGGTGGGGTGGGGGTCGGGAGGAGACAGAAATGAATGATAGAGTCCCAGTGCTAGGAGGTGGGGGACAATGAAATGGGAAATGCATGACACTGGGAAGGAGTGACTTAGTAAAGAAAGTGAAAATCTAGGTCCCGTGGTATTTTGGATGCCAAATAAGGATGTTAGTACTAATTTAAACCTCTTGTGAGCATTTCTTCTCAGATTAAAGCAATAAAATGAAAATCCAGAAAATCCAGAGAGATGATTATTCACTCTTTTTTTCCCCTCTTAATCATGTAGAAGGAAGATATGGATATTGTGTGTGAGAGGTTCACTACAAGTAAACTGCAGACTTTT